GCACTTCATTGAATGTGGCATCCAGAGGGACGGATTTACGAGAATCCAAACAGAGCAACTGATGTCGAAGATGTCCGTCGTTTGTGAGACCGACTTGAACTAGAGTCCTGGATGGTATTCAAAGCGGCAAACGAGGCTTCCTTAATCTGTTTCCCACTTTCATTTGGGTTCTGAACATCCGGCTGCATCGACAACTGCGTAGACAGTTCGGTTTGGAAGTGGTATAGCTGGTTATCATCCAAAAACAAATGCGCGGGAAGCGTGGCATTTACTATGGTGCGACCATGGATAAGACGTAAACAGAAGCGAGCACGTACCAAGGCGTGATCTGAGATCACTGGCCTAGACCAAAATAAACGACAGTCTTCAGTTAATCCACACTGGCGGGGACCAATCACGACATGGTCAATCTGAGTTCAACGTTGTGAAGACGAAGAAGGACGCCATGTTAGTCTATGCCGCTTCTCATGGCAAAAGTTCGTATTTGCCAGAAACAATCTGTGGTCAAAACACAGCTAAATCAGACGATCGCCATTGTCGGTACGATCGGCTGGTATAGCAAATGGGCCTCCAATATGCCTTTCGGAATCTCCCAAACGTCCGACTTGGGCATTGAAGTCCCCAGCAATAACCACCACGTCCGTTGAACGTGCGCTTCGAAGCAGCTGAGACAAATCCTTTTAGAATTCGTCCTTGGTCTCGGAGGAACTGCAGCCAGTGGGTGCATACACACACGACAAACAAGCATCAACGTTCCAGTTTGTTGCTGTTGACACGAACAGAACTGTTCAACCGAACTGCACACAAACGACTGCTGGTTGGAAGTTAGTGTAGCAGTGCTCACTCAACTCCCATACTCAAAGCCATCCCAACTCCAACCGGACCACGAGCATTAGACACCGAATCGCCCGACACGCGAAGAGTGGAGCGAGAGACTGAGGCTGTATCTAAGGCGCGAAACGTGATCGCAGAAGTGGGGTCTTGTATGCGCGTCGCAAAGACACAACATACATCTGTTTTGAAAGTGTGAAGATTTCTAGCGAGGACACCCTGTTGCCCTAGTTAGCATATTGTGCGGTCGTTGAAGGCAGCCAAGTAAATTGAACACTTAGGCTTTGGGAGTGCATTCGATTTATACCCAACTCCTGAACTACCGTTTTCTTCGGAGCCTCAGTTACCGTGGCGTTTTGTATCGATCTTAAATTAAGAGAGGAAAATTTGGTGAGGCCCTTTACAGGAAAAATGCTGAAGGTTTCTGGGCGAGTTATACTTCGCAGCTGCCCACAGCGTAGAAGGGGTCTTTCTTTGGGAATCCTAACCGTAGCCTTTGAGACAAAATTCTGATCCATAAGGCAGTGGGGGTGTTAACCTAGCACGGGAACGTGACCGAAGAACCCGCGAAGAAACGTATTCTGGTCTGTCACGTGAGACCTGATTGTTGCATACGTTCTGTCTTGTTGTCGCTGGTGCTTTGTTATCAGTCCGCTTTTCGGATTCAATCCTTAGCCCCATGCACCCATTGGAGCAAGGGGAACGTGGACGGGGCAGCATCCTCTGGGCCGGGAGCTGCATGCCCAGCTTAGGTGGGCGATAGCTGCCCAGTGAAGTGAGATAACCCATGTTATTACACGCTGGAGCATTAGTATAGTATACGGGGTGTACACCTCATAGCCGCCAATACCCACTGCACTTTTAGGGATAGCCGGCTATCGGACCCGGAGACTTGGAATGGAGAACCATTATCGAGAAAACCCCAAATACTCCACCCCTACGTTCATCTTATGAATGATTTCAGACCGGTAAACTGTTTGTCTCCGTGTTTATTTGCTGGAGGATCCTCTCCTGGGGCACAGGGGTTAGGACCAGTGTTGCCCATGAACTGGTTCTGAGACTGGACTTCGTCTGGCCTCTACTAATTGACCTGTCAGACATGATTGTATCTCCGGCTTAAGGAAGCCATCCTGCATAGCCCTTTAGGTCATGGAGGCACGCAAGCTAAAACATCACGCTAAGTTGCCGTCTCGTCATGGTGGATGTGAAAGCGTTCTACCCAGAGTTCGGGACACCGCTGTTGATTATGAATCGTCAAACCATGAGCTCCACAGTTTGTTTCAGTCATACCTAGTGGCTTTCTTCGAATGACTCGGATCAGACAGAGCAGTTCGTGGGAATTTCCCGTGGCAGCAGCACGTTCCATCTCTGATTTCACAGTCCCTACGAAGACTGGTTTTAAGTACACGTCTGTTCGCTAGTCGTGCTTCGGTACACTCGCTTTCAGCTTCTAAATGACCCAGAGATCCAGCAGAAACCCAGGGTCTTGTGGCACTACGAAGCAGGGCACAACTTACCAGGCCAACGGAATGCAAACCATTCTTGACCAGCCACCGGCGCGTAACGGAAGATGGTTAAGCAGAATGGATCGGAAAGCTTATCGCAGTCTAACTGTCGTTTCAGCATGCGTTTGGACTGTTTACCAAATTACATGGACAGCTCAATGCGGACCAAGGAGTGGTTGTAATCAGATGTGGGCGGGGGAGGTGCTCCAGTTTAAGCGACATTCCTATATGCAGCCCCGCCATTTGTGGCGTTTAGCGATGTGGTCGATTGGGGTCCGCCGTTGACTCAAAGACGGCGGATGCCACGTAGCGTACCGGTGATTAGAGAGTCGATTTTTCGTAATGGTGTGCAACGGGCAGTGATCAGAACACGGGGCCAAAAAAACGTTCCTTGTTTTCAGAGCGACTTGAATCTAATTCAAAAGGACCTCCTAAATGCGCTTCATTTGTTGACAGCCGACCGACTGTAGCATTCATATCTCCTTCCAGAATCTAATCAGCGCGGCTTTAAAGAAGATGTCTTGGAGATTTTTTGGTAAAAGTTACCTCCGATTGCATCTTAGTTGCAATCACTGGGTCCATACGTCGAAACGACAAACAGCTTGCATCTACCGGATTGGCGACTGCTCATTTCGTTTGAACCTCCACGTTTCATTGCCACAGATGGCCGTTGACTGGAATCCACTCTAGTCGTACCTCCTCAGTTCCTTTACTGAGAGCAATGCCAACGTTGGGAATACCAGAAGCTGCAGTTTCACTATCCCCATAAAGGCGTGAGTGAAACTTCACCTAAGGATCTGATTAGGCCCTCAATCGAATGGTGGAACTGGAATCTTGAATGAGAGTCTCTTGATTGCAACGTGCATCGAAGGCAAAGGATTCAAGCTTACGAGTTAAACCCGCCTGTTGTCCTATACACATCAGGGTTCATGCGTTGAACGAGGCTAGTTTGCATGAGCACCAAGGACGAAGAAGGGCATCAGTCAGCGATAGCGGGTTCAGTGAAGCTCGAAACCTAGTCGAAGATGGTCGAGAGAAAACGCAGCCAGTATTTCCACCGGTGGTAACAAGGTATGATAACCTTGACCAGTGGAATAGGCTACGTAGGACGTGTTAGACTTCCAGGTTGGGGTCCACATGATCTGCCTACCAAACGGTTAAAGACACTTAGTGATATGACCAGGTGTCGCAGCCAGTGGCGTAGTTGCACTCGGACTCTTTCCTTGTCCTCTTGATTTCCGCTTGATGCTTTGACTTGTTTGGATCTTTATCACTATAGTTCTATTCTTTACGCCCTTTGCTATACAATGCCGGAAGGTAGCAACGGAAACCGGAACACGGAAGTGCTGGGTTAGAGGTTGTGTAAACTGAATCGAAACCAGTGGTACTACAGAAGACACAGTCGACCGAGGATCCCGCGGTGTCTAGTAAAGGGGAACAGTGGACAGTGTGAATGGAGATTGATCAGTAAATTTTTGTGAGCGGTGGGAGAGGTCGAATTGCGCGCACGTGCAAAGATTTTCCGTCAGTTTGTGAGTAGTTTCTTCCCTTGTTGTTGCGTTGTGGGCTATTGTGCTATTCGGTCGCCCAGTTTAGAGGAGGCATTTTTATTCGAGGAAGCTCCTCTGGCTTTTGCCCAGCCAAGCGCGTTCTGCAGGGAAACTGAGTTGGTCGAGATGAACCGATGGATAGTTGTACGTTTTATTCGCCTGTTCTGGGAATCTCTGGGAGCCGGTGATAAATTGCTTAGTTCATTCACCCTTCGGATGAGACTAGACGCCCCAGGTGCCAAATGCACTCCTTCGTCACAGATGTCGGTGAGCATAGCGTTGTACATGTCATACGTCACCCTTACTTGGTTTGGAATCGAAGGTAAACCGTCTCTCCTAGACTGATTGTCAGTCGGCCAACCTGGTGGAGAGCTCCGGGCATTCGCTTTCGTCTTCTCCCCTTAGTGGGAATTCTTCCGCCGCGAGACTGCGGTGAGTAGTTCTTCCTCCGCAGAGGCTGTAGCAGTCACATGGTCATTTGGGAGCATTTTGATAGGCACTTAAAACGAGTAGCCCTCTCGGAGCCTGAGACACCTACATCCGACCTTACTGAGGCATCTGGGGATCTGATTCATAATCATGTCATCGATTCACATATCACGTGAACGATGTAAAGTGAACAAAAATGCTGGAGGTAGGGCAATTGGTCTGATATTAAGATTGGAGAAAACCAAGTTTTGCACGCGCTACCCAGGTGCATCTCTGATCGATGTCGTCCATGTCATTAGTCTGGTCAGTCGATTTTTGCTTCAGCTTTGTTTTTTTCACCTACTGTTGTTCCTATAAGGTGGGATGTAAGCCATGATTATGAATCGTTTAAAACGAGCTTGTCCGCCTCTTTGTGTTGTTCTTCATATTTTCTGTGGGATTATTCGCACGATTTTCTAGACCCATGATCGAAGCACTATGTGCTTATGTGATCACAACTATCTTAAATACGGCAGTTGGTCTAACTCAGTTCATTATCAGTGAAGCTAATTATAGATATCCTAAGATTTTCATCTGGCGGGACATCGTTCTCAACATATCCTGCATGAAGCCGATGCATCAAGTGCTTCTGGCTTTTTGACCAGGCATCTGACTTGTTCCTTTCGTTTCCCTTTGTTTTTTTTAGGTAGATCACAAAAAAACTCTGATCAACCTGGAACAGACAATCTTACGTGCTGGAGCACACAGGGAATGTAGCAACGTAAAACAAATTGCTGGTGGGTTTCTTACTTTCTATCGGTATCTTCATTAATTGGGCCCCGGGTACTATCGGCTCATGAGGAGCGCCAATCCGAAGCATGCTGGTGCCGATCCATTTTCATAACTCTGTTACGATCTCATATTTTTTGCGGTTTGATACGTGAACTTTTTCGGTCGGGGTCTATTTTTCCAAATTATACACTTCACGATTCGCGTGGATTCAGTCTGACTTGTTTCCCTTATTGTCATTTGATTGTTACTCGCCTCTATACTGTTTTTGATCGATAAATCTCATCTTGACAATATGATTATCTCAGCAAATCAGAATTCTGCGTTTCTTTTTTGTAGATGGTGTTGACTTCTACTTTGGTACACGTTCACAGGCGGTGTCCTTTGTAAACTTTTTGTGCAAACATGCACCTTGCAGGTTAGTAGTAATCTGGCATGGATGTTCAATTCTTTGTCAATGCGTGTGGTTTGTAAAACAGTTTTCCACAACGGTAGGTTTAAATGAAAGGGGAACGGTCCAGTCACGACCGGTTCAGCTAATCAAATGCTAATGAATTTGATCCCTTATTGGCTGTCGAAATTATTTAGTTGTGACCTAGCGGACCCACAACAGATCACGTGGCAGCGAGGAATGAGAAAATATACAGCAGACTTAGGAAAAGTAGGTGCTTCACGTCTTCGTGGTTGGGATCCAAAAGATCCGTCTACCAGTTGGCTGGAGACACTGAAGGATATGGCAGCGAACCGCGAGCAGTGGCGATTGTGTTGTCACTTTCTGTCGAATCAAAATGACTAATCAATGTGCGTTTGTACATTTAGACTGTGTATTCCGTGTGCTGGCTACTAGGGCATTCTTTCCTTTTCCCACCCGTGTAAGTCCACTCCCTGTACATCTTGTATATTCATACTTTCTAATTCAACTTGCAACATGTTGAGAAAGGCAGTGGTCAGTGGTGCTTGCCCTACTGTTTAACGCCGTACGATGATGATGATGATGATGATGGACCCACAAAAACGGAAGTTGAACAGTACATTTGATGCTTCAACGTTGGAAATTACAAGTTTTCTCCAGTTTATCTTTGCGTGGTGACGTCTTGCTAGGAGGAGTCGTCATGTGAGTGGTCATGTCTGTTCAGAATGTCATGTGGTCAGCAGCACGGCATTCTTATGACTTTTTTATTACATGCTTGCACATGAACGCAATGGGGTATATACCCCACAGCCACGAAGGCCTATTGCGCTATTCGGGATAATCGGAAACCACACTATGAAATTTGGAGTGGAGAACCACATAAGGTCCCAATGAGTCAGAATTCAGTTCGTCAGTAAATTCAAACGACGTGTCGCCAATGCATAACAAAACCTTATTTCAGTCAGACGACTCACGCTTGGTCTGCGCAGTAAAAGCTTTTTGTTGGTGAATCAAAAATAGCGTAGATGCAGCAAAACAACTAATGGTCAGAAGACGATATTTGAAACAATGTAACCAAAGTTCTGGCGTGTATGTTACTTAGCTATAGGGCATTTCGTGATAGGAATATCGAGAGACGAGAGGCCCAACCAGTCGCATTGATCCGACCGTTACCCTGCTTTAAGTGTTTGAAATACTTCACATTGTCGTCCTACAAATTCAGTCATCCTCGATCTAAAAGGAGCGTTTGACTCGACAGACGGACCGGCGTCATTTTTTAATTCCAAAAATCAAATGGGTAAAACGTGAACAAAAATCACCATCCGCTGCAACGGGTCTTTATCTTAATTGCTTAAGAATGAAAGAATGATCTGTTGGTCAGTAGAGAAGATGTAGGCGAGGCGGTAAAAAGTATCCAGACCGATCATGCGAAATGACGCCTCCAGTATGCACTATCGGTGAGGGCACTTAGCCCCAAATGTTGGCCAAGTGTCGTAACATTTTGGAATTCACTCAAAGGCTGGGTCATTAGGTCCAATACTTCAGGGATCAGTTTAGCTGGCCGCGCACTAATGTGGTTACTCTGGGCATCAACAACTGCGATTCTTTAGGGAGTATCGCTTGAGCCGTCATCAGAAGTAGATGTAGAGTCGAGCTTTGATTACTAAAGCGAAGGAAATCGGCTGGTCGTGACGAACTTCCCCCAGTTCTTTTCAAAATGGGTGGTGGTGCATTGATATAATCACTCACCACCTTGCTCCGTGACATTTGGAACGAGGAACATCTCACGTTAGTATGGGGCGAGTCATTGATTATACCCATATTCAAGAAGCGAATACACAATGACTGTACTGATCATCGTAGGATTAACTTATTCCGACAGTCACCAAGGTATTAGCCTCGATTTTACTGCACCGTCCTACACCGGCACGCGAGAGTAACGCATGCAAACACCAAGCGGGATTCCGCCCAGATCGAGGATGCATACAACAGCTTTTTACTCTTCCTCAACAACTCGAAACGCGTCGCACACACCGTCGACCGACGATGATGGTTTTCCTGAACTTCAAAAGTGCCTTCGATTCATTTAACCAGACGGCGCCCCAGAAGTTCGTGAATCTACTGAGGTCATTGTATTCTCATACTTCTGACCACGTAAGGGTTTACGGTGAACTATCCAGTCGGTTCGAAACGACGAGTAATGTTCGGCAAGGATGTTCAATTTATCCATTCTTGTTTAACTTCGTCGTGGGTGAAATAATGGAGAATGTCTTGAGAGATCTCCAGGATATGGAAGTCGAACTAGGAAATAGTGAGAAGCTGTGTGACTTAGATTACGCAGACGATGTTGTCTGCCTGTTCGAATCCACGGAACACGCGCAACCTACACTGGATAGGCTCGCGAGAGCTGTAGCTCTATTCGGCATGCACTTTGCCACTTCAAAGTATACAGTGATGTTACAAGACTGAACGTCAACGATTCCGAGCATGATGCTCGATGGTAAGGTGCTGGCAATTGTCGATCGCTTCACCTACCTCGGAAGCAGCGTGACGACGGATGGTAGCACATTAGTACGGGTGAGCACGCGCATATCCAAGGCTCAAGCGGCATACGCTGAACTGAAGCACTTGTGGCGCCGACCTGATATTTCACTGAAGTTGAAAGATAGTGTGTACTGTGCCGTGGTGCATTCAGTTTTGTTGTATGGTTGCGAGACTTGGAGTCTGTGTGCTGAAGATATTCGTCGTCTTGAGGTTTTCGACCATCGATGTTTGCGTGGTACCGCTAAGATTGGATGGAATGATCGAGTAGACAGCGCTGAGGACAAATGGAGTATTCGGTACCAGTTCAATGAGTTTTCTATCACAACGTATTCAGCCCAGTAGACTTCGTTGGTTGGGGCACGTGTTATGTATGGCAAATATAGGTCTACCTTACCGTGTCCTGTTTTCCATTCCTCCTAGGGAGAGAAAGAAGCCGCGTGGAGGTCAACAGATGGAATATATATATATATATATATATATATATATATATATATATATATATATATACTTTCACATTTACGGGACTATGTCTTGCGAGAGAGTCAATCGGCTCCGTAGATATCACGAACCATTGCTGACCACGCGCGGCGGTCGGAGGCGAGCTCCGTACAGATTTTGATCCAGTCCTTTTTCCATCGCCGGGCTCCGTAGACTGACCGAAGGCCTAGAAGCTATACGTCTTTCCTGATTGTACTGGTCCACATTTTGAGCTGCCCAACCAGGGGAAACGCCAACCAGGGCAGGGAGTGAGGCAGAGTGTTTGCTTGTTTATCTCTGACTCGGCTCACCGAAGCGTATGGCCGAACCACTGAAGTCGTCGACGTTGGAGGAGGACGGGGAGAGCATCGTCTCCTTACCTCGTCGTTGGACACCCTGTCGCGCCACTTGACTTTGAGGATTTGCCGCAGGCACCAGTGGTCGAAAACGTCCAGCCTTCGGGTATCCTCAGCTCGTAGTGGCCTGGTTTCGCAGCCATAGATGAGTACGGACCGGATGGCAGCACGGTAAACACAAGCTTTGGTTCTTAAGCCGATTTCACTGCGAGTCCACAGCGTTCGTCTTAGCTGAAGGAAGGCTCTGCTGGCGCTGTCGATCCGTAATACCATTCATCTTTTGCCTGGCCGTTCGGAAGTTGAGCCTAGGTATTTGAATGAAGGGACGTATTCGACTGGTTGGTCATTCATCGACAGTTGTTGAATTGTCGGGCCCAGATGGGTTGTGATAGCTTTTGTTTTGGTCGAGTTTACTTCAAGTCCGATGGACCTCGCAAAGGAATTGATTCGGCCGAGGATTGGTTGTAGCGTAGCGGAGGAGTCTCCTAGCACGACAATATCATCCACGAACTCCAGGTCCGAGATGTATATTTCCTGGCTAAGCTGAACGCCAGGGTAGTTGTGTAATGTCTGTCGCATTGTCCAATCAATAGCGTAGTTGAACAGCACCGGTGAGAGGGGACAGCCCTGCCTAACTCCGGTAGTGAGTGCGAACTCGCGGGACTCTTCACCGTACATACGAAATTTAGCACCAGTTGTCGAATAGTACCTCCTCAACAGCCTTAAAAGCTTATGGGGCATCCAATCGGATTGGATTATGGACCAAAGTGACTCGCGGTTCACCGAATCAAAAGCTGCCCGGAAGTCGATGAAACAAGTTACCGTCGGCTGCTGGAGCTTATAGCGGTGCCTCAGTACTCGGCGCAGTGTGAAGATTTGATCAACACAGCCTCCGCCACGGTGAAGACCCCCTTGGTTCGGACGAGTGCGCTGGTCTCTTGCCTCGGAAAAACTGGTTAGTAACAACGAACCAAAGATCTTTGCGACCACGTCGATCAGGCTGATCCCTCGGTAGTTCTCACATGCCGATTTATCACCTTTCTTCGGAATGGGCAGCAGAATGGACATTCCCTAGTCGGGTTGAAATGCTTCCTCTCTCCCAATGGAACCAAAAAGTGTACACAACCTGTCAATCGATGACGGTGAACATGCTTTGCACACTTCTGGAGGGATGCCATCTTCCCGAGCAGCCTTTCTATCCTTCAGTTTGTTTATCATTTCCGTGATTTCCGTGGTGTTGGGCGGGTCACAGTTGCTTTCGTACTGGAGTGTAGGGGTTGATATGGGTTGGTCCGTCCGGTGGCCCGTAGGCCGGTTGAGCAGCTGACCAAAGTGTTCCACCCATCGGTCCATTTTCTTACTCTATTCGGGTATTAAGTTTCCTGCCGTGTCACGAAGAAGGGAATTTTGTTTAAAAAACCTGTTAGAGGCGTTGCGAATGAGGCGGAACAGTTTACCGAAGTCACCAGTTCCGGACGCGGTTTCCATTTTTTCAGCTTTTTCTATCCAGTATCTTTTGCGATCAGCCTTGGCGGAGCGTGTGGCCTCTCGTTGCAGTCTGCGGCGTTCGTTACTACCTGCCAGTCGCGCTTCCTGTGCTCTGGTTGACAGCTGGAGCGTGCTCTCCGA